CTATGGATATGAGGGGCCAGCCCAGGGCTATGCCGAGGCCTCTGTGGAGAAGAGGCGCCTCTGCAGATCCCTGTCCGAGGGGCCATACCCCTACCCCCCTGAGCTGGGGAAACCGACCAGCGGGGACTTCGGCTACCGCTCTCCAGGCTACCGGGAGGTGGTGATCCTGGAGGAACCTGGTCTGCCTGCCCTGTGTTCCTGCCCCGCTTGTCAGGAGAAGCTGGCGCTGCCCACCACAGCCCTGTATGGGTTACGGCTGGAGAGGGAGGCTGGAGAGGGGTGGGCGAGTGAGGCCAGCAAGCCTCTCCTGCACCCCGTGCGGCCCGGGCACCCACTACCCCTGCTGGTGCCAGCTTGCGGGCATCACCATGCCCCAATACCTGACTACAGCTGCCTGAAGCCACCCAAGGCAGGCGAGGAAGGGCATGAGGGCTGCTCCTATCCCATGTGCCCAGAAGGCAGGTATGGGCATCCAGGCTACCCTGCCCTGGTGACATACGGCTATGGAGGAGCAGTTCCCAGTTACTGCCCAGCGTATGGCCGGGTGCCTCACAGCTGCGGCTCTGCAGGCGAGGGCAGAGGCTATCCCAGCCCTGGTGCCCACTCCCCACGGGCTGGCTCCATTTCACCGGGCAGTCCACCCTACCCATCATCCAGGAAACTGAGCTACGAGATCCCTGCAGAGGAGGGAGGGGACAGGTATCCGCTGCCCAGCCACCTGGCCCCAGCAGGACCCTTGACATCTGCAGGTGAGGGGCACTGGAGTGGGAAGTGCCCGGGGCAGAGGAGGGTTCTAGACTATGGTTGGGAAGGAACAGAGCAAAAGAGCTAAGCCAGACCGAGGCCTGTTCCTGGGTCACAGCCTCTACTCTCCCCTTCCCTGCAGAGTCGCCTGAGCCAGCGTCCTGGAGGGAGGGCCCCAGCAGGCACAGCACCCTGCCTCGGTCTCCCCGAGATGCCCCGTGCAGCACCTCTTCAGAGATGTCTGGTCCCTCCACACCCCTGCACACCAGCAGCCCAGTGCAGGGCAAGGAAAGGTAGGCAAGCACCTCTTTGCCCCAGACACTGAAGGCTGGGGCTGGGGGGCAGCTCACAACTGGGGCTCTGAGGCCCTGCTGACTACCTGCCCTCCCTCCCCACAGCACCCGACGGCAGGACACCAGGTCCCCCACTTTGGCACCCACTCAGAGACTGAGTCCTGGCGAGGCCTTGCTGCCTGTATCCCAGGGAGGTGCTGAAAAGCCTCCTGAGCTGCCAACAAGAAGTGGGCTGGAGCCTCCGGCCCCTAGCCCTTTATCCCCGACCTCCCCCCCCAGCTCACCCAATGACTGGCCTCAGGAGAGGAGTCCTGGGGGTCGCTCAGACAGTGGCAGTCCAAGGGGCCCTGTGCCCACCACGCTGCCCGGCCTCCGCCATGCCCCCTGGCAGGGCCTTCGAGAGCCACCGGATAGCCCGGATGGGTCCCCCCTCACCCCTGTGCCTACCCAGATGCCCTGGCTTGTGGCCAGCCCTGAGCCACCTCAGAGCTCACCCACGCCTGCCTTCCCCGTGGCAGCATCCTATGATCTCAATGGCCCCACCCAGCCCCCACTTCCTGAGAAACGCCACCTGCCGGGGCCTGGGCAACAGCCAGGTCCCTGGGGCCCAGAGCAGGCATCACCACCAGCCAGAGGCACCAGCCACCATGTCACCTTTGCACCTCAGCTCCCAGATAACACCCCTCAACCCCCAGGTATAAAGGCCTTGAGGGAGGGGGTGTGGGGGGCCACCTTGGGAGAGCCCTTTTTCCCAGGGACCAGCATGGCGTAGGCACTTGGGAGCCCTGGGACCAAGCTCAGTCCTTCCCTGTCCTAGAGCCTCCCCTGCAAGAGAGCCAGAGCAACGTCAAGTTTGTCCAGGATACATCCAAGTTCTGGTACAAGCCACACCTGTCCCGTGACCAAGGTGAGAAGCCAGCCTGGCCATCACTCCCACCCTCCAGGGCTCTGTCTGGGCTTTGCCCGATCCAGCCTTCCAGTTGGCGCCCTTACTGCCTCCTCACTAGCAGGTGATTCTCGGCTTTGTGCCCAAGGAGGTTTAGACTTGATGTTGTCAATGCCCTCCCTGTTGATTCTAAAGTTTTGTACCCAGATGCCCAACACTGCCCCCGCTGTTAGGACAGGGGCCTGGGGAGCTGGCTGGCAGAGCCGAGGAGTGGCCACATGGGGCTCAGCCAGCCACTGTGAACACTTCTCCTGCCTCCCCCAGCCATCGCCCTGCTGAAGGACAAGGACCCTGGGGCCTTCCTCATCAGGGACAGTCATTCATTCCAAGGAGCCTATGGGCTGGCCCTCAAGGTGGCTACACCCCCACCCAGTGCTCAGCCCTGGAAAGGTACAGAACACCCAGACCCACACAAGAAGGGGAGTGGAGCGGGGCTGGTACAGAGGCAAGACAAGGGGTGGTGGGCCATGCCACTTCTCGGTGGGAAGGACAGGAAGTGACTCTCACGCTCTGGAAAGAATCCCAGCAGGATAGAAGGCAGGAACCTGGATTCTGATAAAGCTTTTCTCTCCCCTCCCGGCCTCTCAGGGGACCCCTTGGAACAGCTGGTCCGTCATTTTCTTATTGAGACTGGGCCCAAAGGCGTGAAGATCAAGGGTTGTCCCAGTGAGCCCTACTTTGGTGAGAAGCTGGGGCTGGGGCTGGGGAGGCTACACTGGGTTGGTTTAGGGAGGCCAAGGGATTTCAGGAGGGTGGAGGGAAGGTTGGGGCTACCTGCGGGCACCCCAGGACTTCTCTCACCTCTCGCTGCAGGCAGCCTGTCCGCCTTGGTCTCCCAGCACTCCATCTCCCCCCTGTCCCTGCCCTGCTGCCTGCGCATTCCCAGCAAAGGTGGGTGTTTTGTCTGTCCATCCACCTCTCCCCACCCACTGCAGCCTGCCTTCCCTTGGGATGGCAGAGGGAGTTCTGCAGCTTCTCTTGAATGCCACTCCCTGCTGACCTGCCTGCTGGCCCTTCCCTTCAGATCCTCTGGAGGAGACCCCAGAGATCCCAGTGCCTGCCAACATGAGCACAGCCGCAGATCTCCTGCGTCAGGGCGCCGGTAGGGGCCTCTCCCTCCCCCTTCCTCTCCCTGGGCACCAAGGGGGCACTGCAGATACAGGCATAGCACACTGAAAGGCCTTGAGATGGACAGGCCCTGGCAGATGCTTTTAAACCCATAAAGGCAGGGGGAGCCTCATATTTATAGGGAGGTTGGATAAGGGGGTCCTCAGTCTGGGTTCTCAAAGTTTTATGAACATGAGAATCCTGGGGAGGGGGCTCGTCAGAATGCAGATTCTCAGGCCTCATTCCAGCATCTCTGGCTATAGATCTGGGGGTCATAGAATCTGCCTTTTTAATAGGTTACCTTTGTGATTCCAATGCATTTTGAGCAGAGCTAGCCAGGGAAAGTACAAGAGCTGGTGGGGTGGAGGGGTGGAGGAGACAAATCTCAGGGCTGATGGAGCCAGTGCTCCCCTCAACTCTCTTCTTGCCTCATAGCCTGCAGTGTGCTATACCTGACTTCAGTGGAGACCGAGTCACTGACTGGCCCCCAGGCGGTCGCCCGGGCAAGCTCGGCAGCTCTGGGTTGCAGCCCCCGCCCAACACCAGCCGTAGTGCACTTCAAGGTCTCAGCCCAGGGCATTACCCTGACAGACAACCAAAGGAAGTGAGTGTGCGCGCTGAGCTCCTAGGGAACCCCAAACATAGGCCCTTGGGACCGCAATTTCTGGGCGTGACTCACCCCTCCCTTCTCTTCACAGGCTCTTCTTTCGCCGCCATTATCCAGTGAACAGCATCACCTTCTCCAGCACTGACCCTCAGGACCGGAGGTGACACTCCCTTCCAGCCCTTTCTCCCCACAGACCTGTCCCCCGTCCCATCTGGCCCTGCAGACCGGTCTCCTGGCCCAGCTCCTCCTTTGGTAGCCATTCCCTGGGGTGCGTTCCTTCATAGTTCTTTTCCTTCTGCAGATGGACCAACCCCGATGGGACCACCTCCAAGTAAGCTTCCCATTAGTGCAATCTCTTCCCTCCACGGGGTTGACGTGTCTCCTTCCTCCACAACCCGGGCTCTGTAGTCCCTTGGGGAAGGGTGCTGAGCCCCCACCTGACGGCCTTTGTACCCCTAGGATCTTTGGTTTCGTGGCCAAGAAGCCGGGAAGCCCCTGGGAGAATGTGTGTCACCTCTTTGCAGAGCTTGACCCAGATCAGCCTGCAGGCGCCATTGTCACCTTCATCACCAAAGTTCTACTGGGCCAGAGAAAATGAAGGAAGGCCACCAGCTCAGAGCCCACATCAACACTGCGTCCCTCCCAGCATCCCACAGCCCTCACTTCCCCTGGCCTGGACCCAGGAGCCAGCCCTCTCCCTTAGGAATAGGCCTTGGGCATCAGCCTGGGACACTGCTCTCCTTCCCCGCCCCCAGCCTGCTAAGCTAAGTGGACGGGCCCATGAGATGACCTTGCATGTGAGCAGATGGCAGAGATGGGCATGTGAAGGGTGAGGAGGCATCAGCAGTTGAGCTCTGGAAGAGATCAGGACAGCCCCACCTGTACAACGTCAGCCCTGGAGAGGAGCCAGTTCTACCCAGCTGCAGGTCCCAGCATGGCAGGGAGAGGGGAGCAGTGTGGGGAGCAACGTACTCCCTCCTCTGCCTTCTCCTCTGAGCAGAGAGATCAGAGTGGGATCACATGAAAAGGGGGGGAAAGAGTCTATTTTTGTCTAATAATAAAGAATTTCTATAATGTTTACTTGGAGTCGTGCCTATTCACAGGAAGGGCAAAGTCCATGTCTTCCAGGGGCGTACCTGTGCAGGGGGCATCCCATCTTCAGAGCCAGGTCCATGGAGCACACGCAGCCCCATCCTGGGCCTCACACTGGTCCACATGTCCCAGTGAGCAAGCTGCCCTTGGCTGCCCCCACCTCAGCCCTGTCCCCAGCCCTATGTACTAGAAAGGACTCCTGTGTCCTGGCCATGCTGATAAATATGGAAACTCCATCTTTATTGGCTGTATAAACATCTCTGTCTGTACATACATTTCATACATCATAGTGCAGGGACTGAAGGGAGGGCCCACGGGGCAGCCCCAGCAGCACAACAGCTACCCCCCCTTTCCCCAAAGCCCTATCCGCTCTGTGCAAACCAAGGCCAACAGCTTCTGCTCCTGCTTCCTCCCAGGAGAAGTCACTGTATGGAGAGGGGGTCAGGGGTCAAGGGGCTAGGAGACGAGGTCTTGGTGGGGGAAGACACACATAAGTGCTGGAATCAAACACTGAAGCAAAACGGACAACTGGCACAGGCAGCAAGCAGGGGAGGAAGGGGAGAGGAGTCCAGCTGCCCTCGGGGACCCCCCGGTGAGGGCACTGGAGTCCGCCTCTCTACCACAGGAGAGACATGCTCAGCCTGCATCCCAGGGAACTAGACAAAAGGGGGCCACTGGTAGACAAAGGATGGCACAAAGGCCTCAGTCTCTGCCCCCCACCTGAGAGCCCCTCTCTCACACCATTAAACACCCATTTATGTGTGTCCAGCTGGGGGAGCCGGAGACTGATTCTCTGTGGACCTCTGGTGCCTGAACAGGTGGTGAGGGAGAAAGCGGTTCTCAGGAGAAAGGACAGAGACTCTAGGGACAGCAGTGAGTGGAAGGAGAGAGGGCCCCTGGCCCAGCCAGGGGGATGATAGCAGCAACTGATTCCCATCATGAGGACAGGGAACAAAAAAGAAGAAATGCAAAAAGAAATACTGTGGGAAATAGGGGAGGGGCTGTCTGCTCCACCCTCTGCAGAGCCTCAGGCCCAAACAGCAGCTGAGGCAGGGTGCTCACTCCTCTCCACCCATATGGGCCAGTGGGGACAGTGGGACGTGGAGCCCCTGACCAAAGCGAGTGGGACCCACCGATAGAACACTATATTTGGGTCTGCCCCTGTCCAACCAGGGACTAGGGCCCAGGGACTGATGATAGGGGTGGCACCGGGTCAGAAATATGGGCTTGGCAGGGGCCTAACCTAGTAGGGGCAGAGTGACTATACCCTTGGGGCCTCAGGTAAAGAAATCCTCAGGGAAGTCAGGAACTGGGTACCCGGTCCTGTAAAGGGGCAGGAGAGAGAGAAGGGGCCGGTGTGTGAGAAAATCCCTAGCCACTCAGGGGGTGCAGGTCCACTTTGACTTTCTCGCCACAGCTCAGCATTCCGATGGTGGGGAAGAAGCCCCCAGAGGGTACCACAGCATCCTTCTTCCCAATGATCTTGCCATTCCGAGTAAAGAACACCTGGGGGTGGGGTGGGGAGAAGAATGGAGCAGGCAGCTCTGGCCTCTTCTCTGAGGATGTACCAGCTAGCTACCCCACTCACTCCCAAATCCCAGCAACGCTGGCGGAGAGACTTGGGGTGATGCACAAAGTGACCACAAGAGCGCGCCCTAAGGCTGGAAACCAAGTCTCTCGGCAACTCGGCACTCCCAATGCCTCAGAACATGAACACACCCACAGCAAGGCCAGGCCTTCCCTCTTCCCTACCCTGGTTCCACTTTCCATTCCCAACAATACCAGCCCTTGCCCAGGCCCAAGAACCCTAGTCCAACCCCAAACCCTCCACACTCACCACCACCTTCTTGCCCTCATGCTCCTGCTCTATCTCTTCCCCATCATCTTCCTCTTCCTCTTCCTCCTCTTCCTCTTCCCCTTCCTGGTGCAGGTACATAACATTCCGGACATTCCGGACGGCTCGGGCAGTCGGGGACAGAATCACTGTGTCACAACTGTCATCACTGTCACCTAGAAGACCAGAAAACCTGAGCTCCTGGAGTACTGCCCCCACCCTCCACCTGACCAGCCTGGTTGGCCCCACCCCACTCACCCTCGCTGTCCAGAATGTAGTCCCGCGGGAACATGATCCCACAGCCCATAATGTCCCCTTTGTAACAGCGTGGCCCAAAGGGGTCCCCCACACCACTGCCATGGAAGATCTTCCCATCATCTGTTGGGAGGGGAGAGAGCACACAGTGAAGGAGGGGCTGACACTCTACACCAGCCGTGGGCAAACTAAAAAAATGAATAAAACTAAAAAGAAAAAAGACCGTACCCTTTTATGTAATGATGTTTACTTTGAATTTATATTAGTTCACACAAACACTCCATCCATGCTTTTGTTCCGGCCCTCCGGTCCAGTTTAAGAACCCATTGTGGCCCTCGAGTCAAAAAGTTTGCCCACCCCTATTAGAGTGTGTCCTTGCCCTCAAGGACTCTGTAATGGGCTGGGGTAGGAAACAAGGTATTCATTCACTGAACAGCTAGAGAAATGGCAGGAACGTGTACCTTTTGAAGTTGATGTTTCCCTACCCCATCTCTCTGGCCCAGAGGAAGGGAGAAGACAGGTGAAACAAAGATGTAGAGACAGAAGCAGGAAGAGGGCTCCAGATTAAAAAATAGAAAGAGCCCAGCCAGTGTGGCTCAGGGTTGAGCATTGACCTATGAACCAGGAGGTCATGGTTCAATTCCTAGTCAGGGCACGTGCCCAAGTTGCGGGCTTGATCCCCAGTAGGGGGTTTGTAATGATTCTCTCTCGTCATTGATGATTCTATCTCTCTCCCTCTCCCTTCCTCTCTGAAATCAATAAAAATATATTTAAAATACATATATATATAGAGAGAGAATGAGGGCCCACTTCAAGAGCTAAGGGGGAGAGTCCTCAGGGAGCTGGTCAGAGAGGGGAGGGGAGCCAGGGATGGGGGAGGTGGGACCAGGAACTCACGGTTTGTTCTTTTTAAAGAAAGGCCCAAAGGAAGTCAAGCTGACCAAAAAAAGAAAATGCAGAATCTGCAGGAAGGGCACAGAGGGAGCCAACTCAGAGGCCTGGAATGTCCAGTTTGGGCCCAGATCCCCGCCCTTGCTCTGCTCCCCGGGCTTGGAGGGCTTGGAGGAAAAACAGATGAGGAGAAAGCAGCTTTGGAAGGAAAGCAGATGACGGCAGGGAAAAGCTCTCCAGCCAGATGCTGGAGGAGAGGCCACTTGTGAGGGGTCAGGAAAATGGATGTCCCCGAGTCTCTACATCTCCCACAACCCCAGCTTCCCCAGGGCAGCCCCTGCTCACCTGCATGATAAGCCACAGACCCTCTGCTCCAGCCAGGGTGCCTGTTCTTGGGATAATCCTGCACAAAAAAGAAAAAAGAAAACCTGTGGTACAATGCACAGAAGAGGACAGGAGGGAGTAGCATCTGAACCTCCCGTCTTCTGGAATAGGCTACAACCCAGACGGCTGCTCACCACCCCTGCAGCCTCACCCCTTCAAGAGCTTGAGGTTGCAGGGGAAGCAGAGAAGGTAAGAGGGGTTCTTGGCTTTCCTGGCCTGGGTTGCAAGCTGTGCCCACCCCACACCCAGGGCTCAGTGTGTGTGATGCAGTCACAACACTCTCAGGTCCTAGGTCACTTGGGGTTTGTACCCTTACACAGCAGACACATACAACCAGGCTCTGTCCCAGGTAAAGACCTGCCCTCTGCAATCTGGCCCCCAGATTTCCCAAGACCCCCCAGACCCATCCCAAAAGCCCCAGAGCTGAGCAGCTCCACAGGCAAAAGCAGCACTAGTGCCCACCTTCCGGGCCAGCCCCAAGGCGATGTAGCATTTCTCTCCAGGGTCTACGATCTCCACCTCGAAGTAGTGGCTCCGAGTGCTCAGTGGGTGCCGGGCCTGCGCCAGCCCTACATCAACGATGCTCTTGCCCTTGCCCAAGTACTCCAGCAGCTGTGGGGAAGAGTCGGGGGGGAGGTAAGGAGGCAGGCTGACACCGCCCTGGAAACCGGGTCCCAAGGCCATCTGGGGACCAGTTTCCTGATGCTGCACCTGCCTGCCTACTGAGCCTTGTTTTGCAGGAGATAGAGCAGCGCAGCAATCCAGATGGCTGAGGGCTGGGAGCCACACTAGGCTACGAGTACATCATCACTTCCCTGAATAACCCTGCTGGGAAAGGTACACCCAGGGCCCCTGAGCAAGAGAAAAGGCGAAGTGAAGACGAGGCTCAGAGGAGACCTGACCACTTTCATAGAGGGCCTAATGGGGACAGGTAAGGTGCCAACTCTAGATGTTTGGGGGAGGGGAGAGAAGCTCAGAAGCCAATTCCGTCTGGGATGGAACTGAAATCATTTCTCAAGGTTTTTGTTTTACTTGACTTCAAACAGAGCTGTTCATAGCTGGGGTCAAGGAGGTGCCGAGGGGAGCCAGAACTCAGGAGGACAGCTCTACTCCTTCATTTAATGTGAGGGAGGAGAGCAGCAGAACAAAGCTAGGAAGGCAAGTTTTCCGGTTCCCAGCCCCTCGTGGCTCTTTGAAGCTGGAGCAGAGGTGTGGAGAGGGGACGAGAGGGGAGATGACTGAAGGGCTCTTGGGGCTCTTCAGTCCACAATGGTCCTGCCTGGGCATGATGGGGCGGCAACCCCCAATCTGGGAGGATTTATTTATCAGTTGTCATGGTAATAACAGAACTATGACTCAACCCCATTCCCTCTTTCCTCACCTTCAGCACCACCTGGGATTCCTTAATCTCTTTTTAATTAGCCAAACTGCCCCTTAAGACTTTATTCTACCTTCCCACCTTCCAGCCCTGAAGAATACACATTCCCGGGGGACCTCCTTCACATATTCCTGGAAGCCTTGGGATGCTGGCCTCTCACCCCACCAAAGAGCACTTGCCTGAACGGGAAAGGAACTATGTCACCCGCACCTACAAGGAAGCCTGTCTTCAGCACCCCTTCAGAGAGGAAATACAGGGACTTGGTCCCCTTCTCAGCTCTGGATTCCCAAAGCCCTGCCACCTCAAGCCCATCCTCCCTTCCTCGCCAAAGAGAACTGGAGGCGGGGGTGGGGGCGGGTTCAGCATAAAAGCCAGAGATGTACAGACCACCTAAATCCACACCCGGGCCGATTCTTCTCTCCTTCCTGCAGCCAGGGCCTCACACATCTCGGGTTACACTGGCTCTTTTCTATTCCACTCCTAGCCCAGTCTTCTCCATACATCGCACTGCTCTTTTTCATCAGAGAGGGGTACCTTGCATCACATTCTGAACTTCTAGACACTAATTAAGACCCACACTGTTTATCAGGGGTGGGCAAACTTTTTGACTCAAGGGCCACAATGGGTTCTTAAACTGGACCGGAGGGCCGGAACAAAAGCATGGATGGAGTGTTTGTGTGAACTAATATAAATTCAAAGTAAACATCATTACATAAAAGGGTACGGTCTTTTTTTTTTTTAGTTTTATTCATTTCAAATGGGCCGGATCCGGCCCGCAGGCCGTAGTTTGCCCACGGCTGGTTTAGATTCTGTTTATGGGCCTCTGCGTGTTCTCTGCTCGGCCTGGGTTCCTGCTCTGCACCTCTCCCCACAAGCCAGAAGGGTTGTAGCTTGATGCACACTAATGAGCTTCCATCCCACCCAGTCCGAGCTGCCCCCAGACCACCCTCCCACCCAGCACTGCAGAACTGGGTGGGAGACCCCACAGCTGCCCTTGACCCACTCCACCCAACTGGCCTCAGCATAGGAAACAAAGTGTTCTCCACTCCAGGGCCAAGAGACAGCGGATCCAGACCCTGATCCTTGGGAAAAACCCGCCCGACCGTTCTCTCTAGCTCAGCCCTGAGAAGAGCAGCACTGCAGTTTCGTCTATGGATAGGATGGGGATGCTTCTTCAAGCCAAAAGGCCAGGAAGATGAAACACACTAACACGGGACTCTAAAACCCACTCCCCACACCACAGAGCAGTTCAGGCAGACTGCTGATGGCCTGCAAGACTAGATCCCTGCACAGTCTGCCCTCCTCAAGAGAGGAGCCACCCACCCCTCAGGTCAGAAGCCACCCCAATTCATCTGGTCCTGTTGGATCCACTCACCTGCTCCTGGGAAAAGTCCCCCTAAGCTTTCCAGAACCTTCTCAGAGAACTTAAGGGATGGAGTGAGGGCAAGTTTGGCCTCCCTGACAGATTCTTGCTTCAATGCACTCCTCCCCTCCTTAGACCAAGGCTATTAGGCACCTAGAGGAGAATCTTAGTTGCTAGAAGCCTGATGCTGGTCCCTTAATCTGTGCCTCAGATGCCCCTTAGTTTGAAAGAGAATCAATCAGACCAGGGTTCATATCCTAACTCCTATTACTTACTAGCCACTAACCTTGAGCACTTCTTTAAGCCTAAATTTCTTCATCAGTAAAATCAGGATCTCTAAAAATAGGTGAGAAGACGAAATTAAGTGTCAAGTGCTTAGCACAGAGCCTGACACCCAGTAGGTGATCAATACACATTTCTGCCTTTCCATAAATCAGAAATTGGGGTTATACTAGAACAGGCCAACATATCAGTGCTCCCTAAACATTAATAGTCACCCCAAAGCTACAGAAGACTGGAAATGCCAATCACAAATTAGGAAATGATCTTTCATCTCAGCCTTTACGTCCAACTGGAACAGTCCCTTAGGCTCCCAGCACTAAGTACTGTTTCCCCAAGACAAATGACCACTTCCCAGATGACTCTACCCCAACTGACCAACTGTCCTCCCCCCAGTGTTTCTCTTCAGACAGTGCCCAATCTGCAGTTATGTTCTTCTATATCTTTGGTGGAGGTAGAAGGAACCCTTTCCTTGGGGCTCTCATACCCCCCTGCCTCTTATGTGTCCCTCCAAACACAACCAAAGCCTTGAGAGGCCAAATAGGTGGACTCAATGCCAGAGTGGAGGCTGCAGACCAGAGTGCAGACAGCCTACTGCACTCCCCCTCTCCTTGTACCAGTAGCACTTCTCAGCCTGTGCTCTCCTACTGGTATCTGCCCTCCTCTTGCCAGCGGAAGCCCTAATCCCTCTTGACAGGAGCAACGAAAGGCTCAGTGCCCTGAGGGCCTAGAGGCAGCTGAAACAAGAACCAAGAACATGCTCCCCACCAGCCAGCTCAGGCCCCAACACGGTCTCCTCCTGAGTTGGGGCCATGAAGGGCCCCTGGGAGGGTGAGGCCTCATTCACCCCCTTTGGGTACCAAAGCTGTTGCCCCATCACTAAGGAGTTGTCAGAGGAGCTCTGACTAGAAAACAAAGACAGAATAAGTCTAATCTCCAAGCTTTACCAACCGCACCCCCCATCCTCCACTCATTAGCTTATTGTGCAAGGCCTTGGGAAATGGATGAGGTGAGAGGCAACACCCCCATTCCTGAGCAATGCAGCAGCAACACTCCAACACCCTCAGAGTTCCAGGAAGGGGGACTCTTTCAGAGGGGAAACTGAGGCCACACGAAGCAGGGGAAGAATTTCACTCAAGAAAGAGCCAGGTCTTGGCCAGTGTGGCTCAGTTGGTTAGGCATTGTCAGGGAATTGTCCATGTACCGAAAGGTTTGCTGGTTTGACTCCCAGTCAGGGTACATGCCCAGGTTGCAGGTTCAATCCTCAGGAGGGGGCATGCTGGAGGTAGCTGATTGATGTTTCACTCTCACATCAATGTCTCTCTCTCCCTCTCCCTTCTTGTCTCTCTAAATATCAATAAAAAAATATTTTTTAAAAAAATGAAGAGCCAGGTTTGACTAATATAGACACTCAGATTAAGCAAACATGACTGAAAATTAACACCTGTTGAATCTAGGTAGTGGATATATGAGTGTTCACTGTACTGGTTTTTCAACTTTTCTGTATGTTTAAAATTTTTCATAATGAATGTAGGAGAGAAAAAAAGTCAGAAATTGAATTTGCTTTTCTTTATGGGAAGAATCAGTGAGACGGGAGAAGAAAGGATGATTGAGATTCCAAAACTGAGAAAAAGGCTAGGAATAAAAGAATTCCAAGGCAAACAAATAAACTCACCCAGGAGGGCCTTGGCTGAAGGACAAGAGAATCCCTGGGAAGTAGGAATTGAGGCCCAGGAACTCCAGATTCATTTTAGGAGAAGGGGGCAGGAGGAAGGGGGATGAGTGGCGACAGGAGAGCGGGCTTGGACAGAAGGTAACAGCACATATTCGACAGTGGAAAGGCAGTGGGTAGGGGTCAAAGAATGAATATCTGGGCTTAGTTTTGTCACTAATTCACTTTTTTTAAAAAGTTTAAATATGCCGAAACCGGTTTGGCTCAGTGGATAGAGCGTCGGCCTGCGGACTGAAAGGTCCCAGGTTCGATTCCGGTCAAGGGCATGTACCTGGGTTGTGGGCACATCCCCAGTAGGAGATGTGCAGGAGGCAGCTGATCGATGTTTCTCTCTCATGGATGTTTCTAACTCTCTATCTCTCTCCCTTCCTCTCTGTAAAAAATCAATAAAATATATTTAAAAAAAAAAAGTTTAAATATATTTTTATTGATTTCAGAGATGAAGGGAGAGAGAGAGAGATAGTAACATCAATGGTGAGAGAGAATCATTGATCGGCGGCCTCCCACACACCCCACACTGGAGATCGAGCTCACAACCCAGGCATGTGTCCTGGCTGGAATCGAACCGTGACCTCCTGGTTCATAGATTGATGCTCAACCACTGAGCCACACTGGCCAGGTACTAATTCACTTTTTGACGTTTGAACAAGTCTCTTCACTTCTCTGGGACGCTTTTTGCATCAATAGCATAACATGATATTTGGGGATGTGTGGCTGTCACAATGTCCAGAGGCAGAGATGCTAAGCATCCTGTCCATCAAGGAACTGTCTCACCTAAAATGCCCATCAGCCTTCATACTAAGAAACCCTGGACTGGATGGCACCAAAGCCTCTCCCAAATCTTTATGGTTCTAAAGGGTGCTCTCCTGGGAACATCACCCAGGGCAGGATAAACAAGCTTCAACACAGCAAAAGTAAGGGCTCCCCAGAGAGGGGAATGATAAAACAGGAAAGGCAAAGAGGAGAAAGAGCAGTGCTGAACACAGAAATAGGAGGCACAGGCATGGTCCAAATGACCTCTCCTAGGCTCCTCTAGATGACACAACTTTGATTGCTGGATCAGAAATTCAGTGCATGATGACAAAAGGGAGGGGATCAAGAGACAAGTGGGATGGGAGGTCCAGGGAATGGAAGAAACTGGGTAAATCACCCTTATTTGAAAGATGGGGCAGTTGGCAAGATTGGAATAAAGGCACATTTCCTTCAGGAGAGACGCATGCCCAATCTGCCCCAGAGGAGCAAGTGTTCAGGGAGTAGTGTGCCCACCCTGCTAGCTGTTAGAAGCTGGAGTGAGGGTCTGAAAAAAAGAGCCAAACTTAACAGCTTATGTCTAAGAAAGAAAAAAGTTCAACGCATGGCCTGAGGGTGTTGGGGGAAGGGCAGAGAGGAATGAAGGCTATTTATAAATGTCTACAGGATTCTGCATCAATTAGGAAAGATTGCCTGGGAGGAGCCGGGAACAGAGTGGGGACAGGTCCAGGCAGGGAAAGGATGCCAGGAAAACACTCCTGAGGAGAGGTCAAGGACGAGAGCGCGAACACAGCCCTGGCTCGGTCCCAAGTTCAACTCTGTAGATGTTGTCAAAATGATGGTGGAAGTGGAAAAGAAAGAGAAGAGACAATGGTCTAGGAGTGGACACCGGAGGCCTCCTGACTCACAGACACTGCAGTCCTTGGACCCTAGTGTCAGAAGGGGGTGCAGAGTGTCCGAAGCAACAGGACGACACACTTTCTGCCATTTTCCTTGAGTTTAACTCACCTTGAACTCCAGAAGGGCGGGAGGGGGGCCTTGCTCATAATCCACTCCCACCCCTAACCCCCCCACTGCTTTTGTTTTGCTATCAAAGGCTGATTTGAAAACACCCTGGGTTGGGGTGAGAAGGCCAGAGGATGGAGAAAAGGTTGAACTGGGAGCAAGGGGGCAGCAGAGGAACAATTCGAAGTGCGAGGTCTGTACAGTCCACTAGAGACCAGGGCCAGACCCCGACTCAGCATCCATTCACTCCCAACCTAGCATGAGGTACAGAGTGTAGATGTGAAGGTGCATAAACGTCCCAAGAAAATTTAAAATCCAGGAAAAGACTAAAGCAGGCATGACAAGATGTATAAAAAAGCAAGCTGTGACATGTCAAGGATTCTCACTGACCTTTCTATGCCTCTAGTCTCACCCTCTATAAAATGTAGAGGGAAGACAGAAGAGATTGACATTGATGCTTACTCAAATGATCTCAAAGAACCTTTCCACATGAGCAGGACTTGTGACCACACTTGCCCCACAGCAGTGAATGGAAAGCCTGGGGAGCTAAGCTGTGATCAAGCCCAACGGGGGAGCCAGGCATCCTGCCTCCCAGTCAGGCCCAGCCTCTGAAAGGCAGGTGTGCAGGGCAGCAGGGCTCACCAGGTGTCGAAGGAACCAAAGAAAACAAAGGAGAACTACTACTTGTTCTGAGAGTAAAGCTCTCAAATGAAGGGGATGGGAAGAAAGTGAATCAGTGCTAAGAAGAAAACATAAAAAAAAATCATGTCAAGACTCCCAAAATCATGCCAGGCTATCCTGCCAAAATTCCCATTTTCCAAAACCTTAAAAAGACACTGTCCTCACCCCCAATTCTAAGCAATTCAGACATGCTTATGTGGCCCACAGGTGTCCTGCCCAGCCCTCCCGCCAACCCCACTGCCCCTTACTTACAGTTCCACAGACTCTGACATCATGCAGCCGGCCCCATTCATCCTCATAACTGTCTACCATCATGACACTGTCATCCTCACGGCCCAGCTCAGCGTTGAGGTGCAGCCGTACCTCCTCACCCAGGGAGTGCATGCCCACTGCTGGGAACAGCCCATCTGGGGACATGGGCATGATGGTGGAGCCCACCTGCAGTGGGGGAGGGAGGGAGCAGCCATCAGGCTCACTTTTGCATAGCTCATCTAATTCTTACAGGCTACTTTTGAGATGATGCAAAAAATAATTATCACATACACTGACAGACAGAAAAACAGAGGTGTCGAAAAAAATTTAAAGCTAAGTAGCCTTAACTGGTTTGGCTCAGTGGATAGAGCGTCAGCCTGCGGACTGGGTCCCAGGT